TAAGAAGCTGACACAGGGTTTGTTCTGTAACTAAAGTTTTTATTTATTTATTTATTTTTTGCCTCCCGGGAGCTATAGCCTCTAAATATATACAAGAGGCAAGTTTTAATTTGTTTTTTTAAATCTTTAAATTCTTTATTAGTTAAGGAATTACAAATGTGTCATCATCCCCCCCATTAACTCCCATCCTGCCCCCCACCCCACTCATGCTCTCATCCCCTGTTGTCCATGTCCATTGGTTTGGCTTATTTGCATGCATACAAGTCCTTTGGTTGATCTCTTCCCCTTAACCCCACCCTCCCCTACTTTCCCTCTGGGGATTAATAGTCTGATTGCTGTTTCTCTGTCTTTGGATCTGACCCTATTCATCAGTCTATGTTGTTCTCTATATTCCACAAATGACTGAGATCATGTGGTATTTATCTTTCTCTGACTGGCTTATTTCACTTAATTCAAGTCTACCAAAAAACACATTGTCAATCTTAGATTGCTATTCTGCTTAATGGCCAATAGAGGGCGGCCACAGACAATGTACGGTAGTTGTATGACTACTGATCAACTTGGTTTGTTTCCAGAAAGTCCTGGATTTAACCAGTCTCTGGCCAGCACAAAGTTATCCCATATCTCATCCTTCTGTGGCCTGAAATGCCCAGGGTTATAATGAAAGTGAGTGATGATTTAGTCATCTTTGTGTCTTTACAGATAAAAAGTGGGGTTCCAGATAAAAAGTGTTTCTTGAATGGAGACACACCCCTCCCCCTCAACTCCACTTAGCTAAGAAGCCAAACCTGAGTGTAGGGGGATGGGATGTCCTTAAGAACACCCCCCTTGAAGTCAGATAAACCTGGATTTGATTTCCAGCTCAGCCTTTAATCACCTCTTTGAATTTGGGAAAGTAATTAATCTCTCTGTGCCTCAGTTTTCTCATCTGAAAAACAAGTAGTCCTGCCACTTTATAACATTGTTATAAGAATCAAGTAATGTGTGTACAAGTCACTTAGCATAGTGCCGGGCCATCAATTGTTGTTTTATTATTGGTAGTATTTCTCCTTTAATGGCCCCATCTCCAGTAATACGACCTCCAACCAGCTCGGCCACTCATACTCATAAGTAAACCATGTCATCTCTATAATTGTACCATCTCTGAAATCTTGTTTTCAGGCTTCCCACGCTGTGACTGCCACACCCTATGAGCCCAGCTCACCCACTCAGCAATTCTCTGATCTCAACGAGCTACTGCTCCCATGGTTCTGTGACTTTTTTACTACCAGTCATCCATTACATCCCCTTTAGTGTAGATTCCTAATTCCGGCATTGTAGAAATACTGAATAAACACCCTCAAATCTCCTGCCCCTCTCTCCTGCTGTCTAACCAGATGGAAAAACCCCTAAACCTGTTTAAACAATGGTCCACCTTCTCAGTGCCTGTACCTGGGCAGCTGAGCATGGCTGGGGAACATGAGATAAACGATTCACCTGGACTCACTTAAATTTGTGACAGAATATATTAGGTAGACAAGCATACTATGCCTACCTAGTAAATTTACTTTCCTTTTCCCCAATACTTATTTTTCTCTCTCTCCTCAAGACCTTACCACCTCCTCCCACCAACACTCTCACTTTCATATTTCATAAAGAAAACATATGTTCAACTGAATGGGAACCCCCTCATTTTACTGCCACCAAGTGCTTTCACCTACCCATATCTTCACCTCCAGTACTACCCTTAGCCCTGGGCAGTGAGGGCCCCCATCCAGAGACCCAGATCTTACAGGGTCCAGCTTCTGCTCTATTCCTCCTCACGGGGTGAGGTGTCTGGCCAGGGGAACGTGCCCACATGTAGCCTGGATCCTGCTTGCCTTCTAGACCACTTGGGACTGTGACATGCCCTGTTGGCCAGAGCTGTTCCCAGGGCCCACACAAATGTTTCACTGGGTCCCTCTAAATTCTTCTCTTTAACAAATTCTTTTCTTCAACATCTTTAGTATCCAGGGAGCTCCTAACTCTGGTGCAAGGCAGCTTTACTCAATAAATACAAATACTAAGCTTCTACATCAGTGTTGTCATATGGTCAGTTGGTATGAGTGGGTAGCTGAGATAAGTGGTGAGGAGCAGCATGGAAAGGGGGAAATAAGGAAAGACAAAACGAGTAAGACAGAGGCACCCAGATGGAAGGATCTGGTAAAAGGAGAAGGGAAAAGTGGAGAGTGTGAGGTGAGCGGAAGAGAGAAGCCTCCATATGGTTGAGTGGGAAAACACCCCATGGGTTCCCTAGTCTACAGTCTTTTTCTGATCCAGTCTTCCTGGCTGGGGCCAATAGGATGCTGACCCCTAAGTGAGAAATTCCTAGAATTGCTTCTTGTTTCTGAAATGCAGGTTCTAGCCAGCCACGTGACTGCATCCTGTTCCTTGATGTGTAAATAAAGCTGCCCATGGCCACCAGATGGCAGCACATCAGCCAGAGCTGGGGTGGTTTGGTTGGGGCAGCCAGACTTCTGGAGCGGCCACTGGCAAGCTGAGCTGGTTCATGCCACCATTTCATCAGCTTCAAAATAATTTGACGTGTGTGTACAGTGGATGATTGCATTTGGGACTCTGCTTATTGTGTTGGGCAGTGATTTACTGCACTTTCTATGATCTCACTTGGTTCCACATCCTCTCAGATCAAAGGGGGTAAAACTTGGACCTGCCAAAAAGAAGAAAAAGTTATTAACGTGCATGAAATCAGCCATGCAAATTGTGGAACATAGTCATGGTTTTGTTTGTTCTGTAGCAGTGTAAAGATTGCAAACTGTTCTGCAAGATCAGAAGGGGGGAAACGACAGATTAGTAATTCCTTTTCAAGGAGAGACCTGCTATTTCTCCTTCCAGATGACCTGAGGCCCATGGCCCTTTGTTTAGCAGTAGGTTTCTAGAAGAGAGGTGGCGCTATTGTCACTTTTGGGGTGAATATAACAGGGCTCCTTGGGGCTGTTTCACCAGCTCTTGCTCTCAGAGGGCTCCCAGTCTCCAAGGGTGGCCACAGGCGTGACCTTTGTAACCTTGACACTTTGGACAGTGTTGACTGGAGCAGGGTGGGCAGCTGACTCAAGATGCAGCTATCTTGTTTTCTCTCAGTCTGAAGTCCATAGAGAATGGGTGTTTGGAACTGAGCCCTGCAAGCTGCAGGGCACTAACAGGATGGCCCTTGAGCTCTGGTAAGAGCTCATCACTAGCGAAATCTACCTTGATTTTTACTCCTCTGAAGCCATGCCATTTTTCTCAACATTTCTTAGCTTTTTTGAAATAATATGCTATACTTAAATAATTGTACACACATGCACATGCATTATCTATCTATCTACCTATCAATAGATATGTATGTGTCTATACTTATATCAGGGTTTCTCAACCTCAGTATTACTACCATTTTGGGCCAGAGAATACTTTGTTGTCTGGGGCTTCTCTGTGTATCGTAGGCTGTTTAGTAGCATCCCTGGATTCCACTCAGTTAATGTCAGTAGCAGCCCTCTCACTTGTGACAACTAAAAATATCTCCAGACATTGCCAAATGTCCCCTAGGGGATAAAAACCATCTGTCTGTCTGTCTGTCTATCTATCTATCTATCTATCTATCTATCTATCTATCTATCTAATATTATAAAAGGCTAATATGCAAATTGACCAAACTGCAGAATGACCAGTCACTATGACATTCACTGATTACAAGGGGACAGGTGCTCCATGCAGGAGCTGCCCTCTGGTGGTCAGTGCGCTCCCACAGGGGGAGTGCCACTCAGCCAGAAGCCAGGCTCACAGTTGGCTAGCACAGCAGTGGCACAGCACTAAGGATGTCCAACTGCTGGCTTAGGCCCGCTCCCCATGGGCCTAAACCATCAGTCAGACATTCCCTGAGGGCTCCCAGACTGTGAGAGGATGCAGGCCAGGTTGAGAGACCCTCCCTCAGAGACCCCCACTCCTCCCAAGTGCATGAATTTTGTGCACCAGGCCTCTAGTCTATCTATATTAAATCAGCTTTGCCGAAACCGGTTTGGCTCAGTGGATAGAGCGTCGGCCTGCGGACTGAAAGGTCCCAGGTTCGATTCCGGTCAAGGGCATGTACCTGGGTTGTGGGCACATCCCCAGTAGGAGATGTGCAGAAGGCAGCTGATCGATGTTTCTCTCTCATCGATGTTTCTAGCTCTCTATCTCTCTCCCTTCCTCTCTGTAAAAAATCAATAAAATATTAAAAAAAAAATCAGCTTGACTCAGAATCTGTTTCTTGCAGCCAAAAATTTGTTGACTCAGACAATGATAAAGCGTGGAGAAATTATGTGAATACAGCAAGTTAGCAGCATAACTGAGACTGGATAACAGGTCTCTTGAACACTACCCAGTGGGCTTCCTACTACTTTCCCCGAGAGAATTCCTTTGCAGGGTCTTTAAACCCACTATCTTGCCAACATTGTGCTATCCCTTATGCTAAAACCAGTACCACTGGAATTAACAGATTCTGTGTGTGGAATGAAACATCCCTTGCTCTAGTCTTTTATTTGTCTGGGACACCACAGTGAATAATCTGTGTGAGGAGCACGGTGGGCTTGTTGCTGGGGATGGCAGGCCTGGCCTTCCCTAACATTCAGGAAAGGGACAAGCTAAATGTAGGGGCACAGAGATCAACTCTGTTATCCTGTTCCCTTACAACTTGGGGAGATTTAGCTTGGTATGTTGGTCTTCCCACATTTCCATGTTTTTTGAGGCCATACACCTCACTCAAGTCACTGGGAAGTGGTAGATATCACTTGTTTTCCATTCAGAACTTGCATTACCAATGGAAACGACATGGTGAGAATATCAGATGATTCTGTGTAACAAATGTGAGCAGATGAAAAAAATTGTTTTGAAATCGAATAAAATGTGTTCATTTTGGTCTGCAGTTATGAGTTTGGCAAGTGCGCAGTCGTGTGATAACCACCGCAACCAAGATACTGAACAGTTTCATCTCTTTTTTTGTTAACCTCCCTTCACCAGCCGCAGTCCTGGGTAACCACTCATCTGTTCTTCAACCCTCTCATTTTGCTTTTTCCAAAATGTCATATAAATGGAGTCACACAGTATGTAGCCTTTGGAGTCTGATTTATTCCACTCAGCAGAATGCATTTGAGATTCACCCATGTTATTGCTTAAATACACACATTTTTGTCCTTTTTATTGGTCCCTGGTGTCCCATTGCATGGATGTAGCCCTTCATCAGTTGAAAGACTTTGGGATTGATTCTAATTGTTGGAAATTATGAATAAGCTGCTATAAATATGTGATCACAGGTGTGAACATAAAGTCTCATTTCTCATGGGTATATTTTGAGGAGTGGGACGGCTGGGTCATATGTTTAACATTGTAAGAAATTGCCAAATTGTTTTCCAAAGCAGCTGTACTATTCTGTGCTCCCACCAGCCATATACGACAGTTCCAGCTGCTTCTCATCCTTACCAGGCCTTGAGATTGTTGCTTTGTCTTTAACTTTTATTTTAGTGATCCTAAAATGCTTGCAGTTGTGTCTCATTGTGGTCTTACTTATTGTCTTCCTGCTGACTAATCACATTGAGCATCTTTTCACTCATTGAAGTGTCTATTCAAATATTCTGCCTGTCTTTAAAGTCGGTTTGTTTTCTTATTGTTGAGCTTTGAGAATGCTTTAGATACCCTGGATATAATTCCCTTGGCCACATAAATGATTGAAAATATTTTCTCCCAATCTGTGTGTGGCTCACTTTCATTCTCTTAGTGCCTTTCATAGAGCAAAAACTTCTTATTTTGATGAAGCCCAATGTCACATTTTTCTCTCATAGACTGCATGTTTGATGTCAAGGGCTGTTTTCCAGAATCCCAACCCAGGATAGTGTGTAGATATCAATATGTTTCATAAGTGGTAAAGACTCTTTGATCCTCTCATTCAGCCTCTGCAATGGTTTGCAAACATATTCTTTCGTTTTTCCTCTGCAGCTCTGCCCATGTGAACACACCCACACACTTCAGCATTACAAACACAGATTTCCTGTGTCACTGTGAACCTCAGCCCTCCCTTCCCAGGCCTCCTCCCAAAGATCACAAAAGTCACATTTTCCAAAGCGTTTTTTTTTTATTGTGCAGGGGAAAGTGCTGGGAGACTGGAATAGTCAGTGCTACTTTTATAGTTTAACACTCTCAATCCTCTTTCGCAAACTTATGCAAGTAGGAAAGGCATTCTGGAAGCCCATCTCCTCAAAAATACATTCGTACAGCAAAACTCGAGCTATGTATTAACGGAACTTAACATTCAGGTCAATTAATTGGCTGTGTTTTTCTATTTGTATTTTGAAACTACCTTCCCATATATTAAAAGAAAGAGATGTTTTCAGGGACTGCTCTTAAGCCCGGATATAGCCTCCTCCCACTTCTCTTGGTTTGAAGTCAGCCATATCATAGTCGGTACAATAAAATAATGTTAGGAAAGAGGAGAGGGGGCAAGGGTGGAGTTGAAGGAGAATAAATGGTTCATTCCTGAGCACACAAAGTAAATCCTTTCTTCCATTTTTTAAAATTGATGTTAAAATATTATGAATTCTTTCCTAAATGTGCCCACGACAGTTTGTTATAAGACATATCAATTATTTTGTTGGTGAATCTCTATTTAGTGCATGTTTGGAGTTTAGTAACACTGTCCCCTTAAAACAAAACCCACCCAAACACTGCAATTAGTTTTCACCTGGAAAAGGTCTCTTATGCCATAAGATGTGCCAGGTCAGAGGTCCTCGAAAATGGGAGTGAATCCTGGTGTCTCAGTGTCAGTCACAAAGTCACTCATTTGTAGTTCCCTTCTCTCACTTCCTGTTTGTCTGTCTGAGCTTCCTGCTTCTTCAGCTTCTGCATCCAGGACTTCAGTGTTTTAGTTCATCCTTCAAGTGACCATCGGCTGAAAGCAAACACGTGGGTAAAGAAAAAAGAAAGGGGAATGACATTCTTCTAGTTCTTCCATGGGCAGCAAGAGAGTTGGTGTAGAGGCGCGAGAACCATCAAGGCATATCAGGGCCAGGCCTGTGTCTGACCAAGAAAGCCCACGTTGGACAGAGACACTTTGGTTGCTCACAGATGCATGCAGACTAAATCCTAACATTTCTGTGAGAACCTTGGGTGATAAAAGGAAACCCCCAAGCCATTTCCCCCCCAGACAGCTGATAACGTTGACAGCTTAGACGAGGAGGCAGGATGTCAGCGGCAGAATCACAGGGGAAATTCTGTCTTCTGCAAAGCCTCACCCATGTACTGCAAAACGTAGCCTGCAATGAACAGAAACACTGATAAACAACATACTTTTATGACAGTAAATTCTCAATAATGTCCCACAAGTCAGCAGTTCTAAGCACGACATTGCTGTTGATTTTTTTCTATGTATGTTTCCTAAATTTTAGAATGATTTCTTTTGTCAAACCATAATAACTTTCAACAGCATTGCAAAATGTCACAGGGATAGAAATTTTCACACATTCCACAATTCTCAATTATATGAGATAGTAGAAATGTCAGAAACTTTTTGCTGTGTCATTTTTTATTTCTTTGAAGTGTCTCACCTGTACATCATTTTTCCTTACACTGCTAAAATACCAAACACTTGAGCTGATTCCTAAGAACTTATGATTCTTCTACTTTTCAGTAGTTGAATTTTCAGGGACGTAGAGTACTCTCTCAATTCCCTCCTGCTGGTTAGAGACACATTCTTTACCACCTAAGGAAGTATTCTTGATAATTCGTTTTCTGATACGAATCAATGTTGAACTTTATCAAATGTAAGTTCACAGTCTTTTCAAAGCATATGGCTTTTTAGTTCTTTTACCCATTGATTAATAAATCACTTAATGGTTTTCCTAATATTAAACTATCCTTGCATCCCAGGAGTATTCTAGACACTTGGGATACACGAGTGACAAAATAGGGGCAGATCTCAAATTTCATGTGGTGTGTGGTCTATTTAAGATGGTCTTTATAAAATGACTTAGGAATTATTCCTTATTTTTCTATACAGGCTGTTCAGCTCCTCACTGCTTCCACTGTGGGTTCCTTTGTGTGTGTGGCAGCTAAATAGATATAGTTCTTGATCTTCCTTATTATTGCTTTATTGTGGTACAATTTAAATGCCATAAATTATTTTGTTTTATGTGTACAATTCAATGATTTTTAGTAAATTTATAACATATAGCATCAGTATAATGCAGTGTCTTTGTTGTTAATCCTCAGCCCATGATATTTTTTCCATTGGTTTTTAGAGAGAGTGGAAGAAAGGGAAAGTAGGAGAGAGAGAGAGAGAGAGAGAGAGAGAGAGAGAGAGAGAGAGAGAAAGAGAAAGAGAGAAACATTAATGTGAGAGAGACATATCAATTGGCTACCTTCTGCATACACCCCAACTGGGGCCAGGGATCAAATCTGCAACCTAGGTACATGCCCTCACCAGGAATTGAACCTGAGACCATTTGGTCTGTAGGCTGGCTCTAACTATGAGAAACACCATCCCAGGGCAGTCCAGAGCAGTTTTAAAACAGCTTTACCACCCCCAGAAGGTTGCCTCCTGCCATTTCCAGTCATTCCTTGCTCTCACCCTCAGCCCAGGCAACCACTCATCTGCTTTCTGTCCCTAGAGGATTGCCATTTGTGAGTATGTTTTATACATGGACTCATAATACGTTGTCTTTTGCATTCAGCTTCCTTCTCTTCGCATAACATTTTTGAGGTTCACCATGTGTAGCACGTGTCAGCACCTCATTCCTTTTTATTCTGGGGTGATGTTGCACAGCCTGGCCATCCTGCATTGTGTTTACCATCCAGCAGCTGATGGAGCCTGGGCTGTTTCCAGTTTGACCATTATGAATACCCCTGCAGGGGACATTTGCATGGAAGTTTTGTGGACCTGTGTCTCACTTCCCAGGGATAGATTCCTAGATGTGGAATGGCTGGGTGGCATGGTAAGCTTATGGGTAATGTTTTAAGAACTGTCCAGTTTAGAGAGAGTAGCTCCTCCTCTGTTCAGGGAGCGTCTTTTTCTCCTATCCCTTTCCCTCCTCAGTGCAGGGCCTCAGTTTAGGAGCCAGCAAGACAGGGCCACCTGGCGGGACTCTGGGCACCTGGGGTGCACTGGCAGTCATATGCCCCAGCCAGGCCTCTGTTCTGTGAGCACTTCCGGAAGTGGCTCTTGGGGTCTCCACCTGTCCCCCGCCTCCAGCAGTGATGCTCTTTTCTGGATGTCGGTGCAGATTCTTTATGGAACATTCTAGCCCCTGTTCTGGGGCAGCTGTTCCCTATACAGTGTATACTGAATTGTGGGTTGGTTAGCTTTTCTGTCAGGTCAGATGCTCACCACCTGCATCTTATAGAAATCCTCCCAAGAGATAGCACACAGAGAGCATCCTTCCTTACTTCTACTTTCATTTTCCATTTTTCTTTCATTATCACGGAAGCAATTCTTTGGTTATTGCAATGGATATTTGGAAAGGGAACTGTTACACCATGAGGTCAAACCGCATGGAATTCCAAGTGGTTCTTCCTTCCTGAGCACTCTCAGAGTAACCTCCTTTCGTGCTCCCGCGGCATTCCCGCTGTCCTTTCTTCTTAGCCCCAAAGAACATGGTCAGGCTCTATAGTTTCTGGGATGTCTTGGCTGACAGCTCCACGCTGTACTGGTCCTTTCCTTCCCAGAGTGCTTTTTCCTTTATATTCTTTCCCAAATAATGAACCTCTCATCTGCTGCCCTTTCTCTACTTGTATACTCTGCATACATTGTGGTACTGGTAGAAACTGTTATTATGCAAAAAATATAAGAGTTGGGGGTCTGAGAAGGATCTTAGCAAGCATCTTTGTCAACAACCTCATTTTATATATGTATAAACTTTGTTAACAACAAGAATAATAAGCAAATCTATACCTACTTTACATGTCTTAAAGGACACATATATTGTCTCTTGCTGGTACAATGTCCCATCGGGCACAGAAGGGTGATTTGCCCAAGGGGACAGAGCTAGCTCTCGAAATGCTCAATTTCAAAATTTTTGGGATTTGCTTTGGTTTAGATTCTGTAAATTCTTCCTAACACCGGGACAGATTCCTCTCAGTGATTTCATCTTTCTTGACCCACTTTAAGTCTTAAAATGTGTAGATTGGCAAACTCAGGTCATTGAAGAGAAAACTGACATAGAACATTTACAAATAACTTTTTAAAAAAAAATAAAAAAAAATGAGAGCAAATAGGAGACAGAAAAATTAGCCATAATCCAACATCTCTGGAAACTAACCAGTCTTATGTGAATCTTGCCATTTTGTTTTTCTGTGCTACACCTCATGTGTATCTATGCTTTTCCTATGTCACAATGTGTGTGTATAACATGTATTTTTTTTTTTAACAAAATGTACTTACCCTATATGTACTATTTTGGAAGGAAAAATTTTTAACTTTACTCATAAATTCAATGTGTTCTCATGAATTTAAAGCATTTACTTTAAGGCTACATAGTATTTTACTTTATGATATAGCATACTTCATTCAACTGACTCAGTGTTATTGGACATTTAGTTGTATACATTTTTTACTGCAGTGCATACATTTGTAAATAAACTTAATATACATATATTATTTTAACTAAATTATTAGACGACATCCTTGATTAAAAGGGCCTGGATGCATTTGCCGTTTTGATATGTAAAGTCTGGTTTAGAGTTGGAGAGATCTATCCAGAAGGTGGTGGCTCTGTGATATTTGCGAGTTCAGGTATTACCCCAGAATAAATAGGCCACACAGCCTATTGAGCTGTCAGTCCTTGAGTAATAGTTACAGTGACTTTTGTCTTCCTACTTCCCTCCCTGCATTTTTAAGGGGACTGCAAAGGGGATCTTCTTTAACCTAATATTAAAACTCACAAACACTCTAACCAGAAACTTATCAAACCATCTTGTTTAATCAAAGTCATCCAGAGTATGTATTTTGCAAAATCAACTTTTCTTAATCAATTAAAGGAATGCATCTCTAGAGGCATATGTTTTTGGTGTAGAAATGGAGTCCTGCATCAGGTGGCCAATTAAGTTTGATGTCTTGCACCTACAATAGGATTACTACACAAAGCAGTTGACTGACATATGTCTTAAAGGTCAATAAAAAAATTTAGAGTTGAATATGTGTTCAAGATGGTTTATTTCCATCTTTTTATTTTACAAATGAGGAAATGAAGGTTCAAAAGGGCCCAGAGAATTGCACAGCTGGCTTATGTCTGAGCTAGAGCTTGAACCTGGGTCTCTTGATGCCTAATCAGATACACCTTTCACTGCACCATACTGCCTGCCCCTCTACCACAGGGCCAGGGGAGCTATCAAGTGTTAATGATTGTGTTCCATTGGTAGACTGTGGCCTATCAGTTCCTCCAACTTTTGCCACTGCAAACACTGATAAACAGTCACTCCATTCTTCTAGTGAGCCTGTACTAGGCCCCAGATGCCCCAACGTTACTCCCAGTCAAAAGGAATTGTCATTTGAGACAAAGCCTTCCCTGCAACCACTCTTTTTCAAAGTGGGGCTGTCCACTCCTCTTTCTCAGACACACACACACACACACACACACACACACACACACACACACACCATCAACATTGCTAACTGAAGAAAAGTTGGCTTTACAGGAAATACTATCCATAACTGGAAACATCAGGAGTCCCTCGGTTCTTCCCCTTCATTAACTGATAAAATGACAGTGCAGGGGAAATGGGCGGGCAGGGTCTGTTCCGGAGGGAATGTGTACGTGTGTGGTACAGCATCTGCATAGTATCATTCTGCTGTGCTCAGAGAAGTCACTAACAGGTCTGGAAATGCAGGCCTGGGAAAACGATTCAAGCTGAAGTTCAGGGTGATAGCTGATGTGTGAAAAAAAAGCCTAATAGAATCTTGAAAAAGAGTGTTATTATATACATATTTCAAACTGCAACACAGAGAATAAGTGTAATGAACCTCCATGTGTATCTTTTACTGAAATCCAATAATTGTTAAGGTTTTGTCACATTTGCTTTATTTATCCCTTTCTTTTCCTTTTATTTCTTTGTTGAGATGTTTTCAAGCAAATCCCAGGCACTATGCTTTTATTCCTCACGCTTGAGTATACATCTTTAAAAATATGAACATTTAATTTTTTTAACAGTTATTGGTGGAGAGAGCTGCATGACTCCACTGGTTGCTAGTGGGAGTGGGCTCTTTGCAATATCCCAAGAAAAGGAATTTTCTGAGATTCGCTTGGGAAGATAAGATATCGTA